TATATATAAGACGGTCACAACAGTGTGTGTAATTGAACTGCGGAGAGAGAATATTGTTGAGCACGTGAGACGTTCATTGTGAATTATAGCGTTCATTATAGAGCGACTGTTGAAATTAAGTGTATCGCAAAGTTATATTCAGAAAGAATAAACCAGTTTTATTTAAGAAAGGACTTGTATCGCTAAAGTTTAGTTGGAACAAAGTTACGGAAAATTAACTAACGAACGGAGGCGTAACACAACCTTTTTCATACAAGTTTCCTAATATTTTGTTTGACTGACTCTTGGTTTTCTGTATCCTGTAAGTCCCCAGTAAATTTCAACTGCTTAATTTTTTTTTAAATTTATTCCTTATATCCTTTCTGAGCCAAATGTGATCTTTTACTTGCAAACACCTTTCTTTTTCCTTATAAGTAACGTATATATTTAATATATAAAAAATCTATTCACATTTGATCAGTATCTCCAATTAATTCAATTGTTCAATCCATAACAAATAATTATTGCTGATCCCATCAAAACTTGCTTTTCTAAAATTTTTAACCAAAATCTCATCATTACCTATCTCCATGTGGCATATATTACCATGATTACCATCATCTCCATATGTATTAAAACATCAAAGTTAGTTTAGCAAATATCAATAGAACTTAGAGGTTCCCCAATCTCAACCTTCTTAACCACTTCTATTAGAAGTTAACAATAAATCTAAAATAGTACTGTTCCATATTGTTCCTAGTAGCATTTCTAACTAATTGTTCAAGAAAGACATCCCAAACAGTTTCTAAAAAACCTTGTGGTTTGACTCTTAACACCTTCCAATCTATACGCTCAAAATTAAAATCTCCCCATAATTACAACCAAATTAAATCATGATATCACTGCATGAGATCATGATCTTCTTATGAATTTCATCAGGTTCATGTGGTTATCTGTAACAAGTTCCAACTAAAAACGTTTTCCCTTTATATCAATTAATGGAAACCCAAGTGCATTCAACTCAAATTTTACATATAAAGCCAATCCTCCCCCCTCCTATTACTACTCTAT